AGGGATCGTGAGCATCTAATGCCAAAAAGGGGCACCATAGTAGTTCCTTTTTGGGATTACCATATAGGATTCTAGATATGAAACCCCCAAAAAGGAACTATCAGGATGATGCATAGTACAATATAGAGACCCAGCAAAGCACCTAAACATAAAGCATAAGGTTGGGATATCCCAGAATCCCCTCTTTAACAAAGCCAATACAGGGAACTCCAGAAAGTTGGAATATGGTTTCATGGTAGGATACCCTATAATTTACCATAGAAGGGTTAGGATAATCATATTCCAACTTTCTGGCTTTTACCCTAAGATAGGGATATCCCACCCGAAAGCTTCTGTTTGCGTGCTTCTCTGGCTCCTGATAATAGGCATCTAAGGTTCGACCGCAGCACCGCTGATACTTTCTGGAACTCCCAAAATTTGGGGGCCTTAATAGTTAGGAGAGAAAAAAATAAGTACAATATGAGGAACCCCCAAAATAGTACAGTGGTAATTCTATCGGGGCCCCTAGATTCTCGGCTAAAGGCGCGAGCGAGCTTGAAACCGAAAAAAGGAAGCCATTCCCTAAGGGTCCATGTACCCAAATAGGGTTCCTGTAAGGGTTCCTGAAAGGGTGCCTGTAAGGGTTCTAAAAGGGTTTAGGGTATAAGGCTCCATGTACCCAAATAGTATATACTTTGGCCCCAAAGTACCTATATAGAGACTTCTTCAAGGCCAAAGTATAGACTTTTTTGCCACATCCCTTAGGCTTATAGGGAATGGAACTGGAATCTGCAAAACTGCTTCCGAGGTGCTGGGGACTTCAAACATGTTACACCGCTCTAGGGTTTTATGGGCATCGTGATGCTCTCCCATCTGCCAGCGGGAAAGCCCCCCTACCCCAATCCCCTGCAGTAGCCCTTATGAGAACCCTTACAGTAAGCCTGGAAAACCTTGAGACGGAACCCTATATCTGAATTAAAGGCAGGGCAGCGATTGATTATAGGCGGTTTAGCAACGAAGGCCCGTCCTTCCTGAACCAATAATAATCAATGAGACAGCTGTCCTGAATTGGCAAGAATCAGGTCAAAAGCCTCTTGGCCCTTACCCTACTCCGCACTGCCAACAAACTGGCCAGTCTCTCTCGCGCAGTTTCCAGGCCTCTGTGGCGAGCGCCGATCGTTCTGCCAAGGTCTCTGGGCGGTAATACCACTCCTGCGTATCCTAAACCCTAACCCCTAAAGCAATCAACCCTAAACCCTAAATCCTAAACCCTAACCCCTAAAGCAATCAACCCTAAACCCTAAACCCTAAACCCTAAAGCAATCAACCCTAAACCCTGGGACTTCCGAGAGATTTGAATGGGTATCAGACCGTTGCTGCAGAATTGTTCGGGCCCGGGGCTTGGAGGCTTAAGCCTTCATGTAGTTCGAGGCTTCTGGGTACGATTTGTTTAGGGTTTACGGCTTTAGGGTTACTTATATATATATATATATATATATGGGTTTTTGAGGGTTTAGAGTTAGGCTGCTCATGACGATCTTCTTGCTTGAAGGCCTCATAATGCGCTGGACCGAAGACTTCCTACGAGGGGCTCTCTCGGAAAATCGCTCGCTGAATACTCAGATAGGGTAGCACCGTTTTAGGCCCCCCTAGAAGCCCTCAACCATTGTAAAGCCCTGATAAAAAAACCTATAGCAGCTCTAAAGGAACCTTATTCCTTTGAGACTTTTGTTTTGAAACTCCCAACGCGTGAAGGCCTGGGTCCAGTCAGGAGAAATGCCGTGGTAGCGCTCCTGAGTGAGGGCACTTGAAGGATCGTGGGACTTAGTAAGTAAGGTTATAAGTACCTTAATTGCGGTTGTAACTAGTCATAAGTATAGTTACCCTCATTACAACCTGAGTTACTAAGTCCCATGATCCTTTAAGGAACCCCTATAGATCCCTTTTTAGGAGCCCTTTAAGGAGCCCTAGTTACTAAGTCCCATGATCCTTTAAGCAAGGTTCTGGGCTTTGAGGAGAGCCTACTCTTCCGGTGCTTTAGCCTGGTAGGCTTTAAGGTACTTGGTTTAGCTATGCAAGATGTCTCAGCCTGGGGAGCGCGTCCAAACTCAATGTAGCGGCCTTAATAAATAGAGTAGGGTTTAGGGGGCCCATTATACTATCATTATAATCAGGAACCCCCAAAATGGTCTTGGTAATTACTTAAGCCCCTATACCATAGAAACCTACTATAGATATAGTAACCCCTTTAAAGGACCCTATGAAACCGCATGACCCGTTAAAAAATTAAATATTTAGGCCCCTCAGGCAGCTTAGCGAGGTTGGCGAGCGGCAGCGACAACCCCCTCGATGGTCGTCTTGGCTCGGGGGCCTGCCATGACTCTGAGGGTCCAAAGGACCCAATAATTAGGTACTTAGGCTAGGATACCCAGTAACCTAAGAATAAAAAGGCCCCTCTTTTTGGTATTGGGTAACTTTATAAGGAACCTAGGACTACAAAAAAGGAATAAGGGTAAGACTACTGGGCATCCTAGTAGGTTTCGGATAGTAGACACTGAAGAAAAGGATCCTTCTGGGCTTGACTGCCTCTCAGCAGGTAGTGGTTTCGGGGCCTGCCACAACACCTGCACACACACCATAGCAACTCGTATTGGATCGGCTCGAAAGTCTTTTTTGCAGCAAAATAGCTGAGTTTGAAAAGGTTCATGTACAAGGGTCAGGTTTCCAGCTTGGCACCGAGCTTTGCAAACCGTTGGTTTGCAGGTGCTAGGGAATTCATCGGGTTGCCTGTTTAGGGGTTTCCTTCTCGCGGCTTCTTTAAGTGTGCGGCTTTGAGTTCGCTAGTTCCCGATCTTCTCAGGCTGCTGTGGAGTGATGGTTGCAATCCCGCACTACGGCTCATGGACCAAAGCCACCCAAGCAATAGTATGTAAAGCACTGGAGAGAGCCGGCTGCTGTCATTCAGCTTTACTTCATAAGGCCTGGAGGCATTGGGAAGGAGGCTATGTCGAGGCAGACAATGGGACATGTGTCATATGTCTATTTCGTACCATCGAGTAGGGATTTGTCCAATGGCAGCAGTATTGTGAACTATAGAAGCCTACCTCTCTATTGACCTACTGCTAATCTCAACCGAAAAACCTACAAGTTACAACTCCGTTACAAAAACCCGAAACCCTGAACCCCGAAAAGTTGGAAAACCCTGAACTGCTGAAAACGCAGCCTTAGCAATGCCTTTGCCGGCATCATCCCATGAGCTCCAAGAACCCAGAGACTCCAAAACCTCAAATAAAAGAAAATACCGAAACTCATTTTAACGATAACTTTCGGGTCGAGGCTTCCCGGATCACTCGACGGTAATTTGGTAGCATACTCCATCATTCAACTGAGTCGGAGTCTCTGGGAAGGGCCGGTACACAACTAGGCTTTAGGGTTTCGGGAGTACGTTTTCGGATCTATAATTGCGGGCGTAGGGTTTAGGGAATTCCGACTTCAAGGTAATGCTCAAGGAAACTTGGCCAAACAGCTTAGGCTCTAGAGTGGCTTCAACCCAAGAATGACATGAGCTTTGCCGCATGCTCCAGAGGTTGTACAGTAGGAACCCCTCCTCCCCAAACACAAATTGACCTTCACACGGAAAGGCTGATACCTGGAAAACTATAAGGGCCTGAAGCATACTTGTTAGAATAAGTTGAATCGGGTTGGGGCAGATGGCAGCACCACAAGATACGAACTCTACAGAACATTTCCAAGTGCCAACGGGCCGTTTGTGCAGACCCCTTTTCTCGGACCGTCTCTCACGTACCCTGCCTGGCACGACCTTAAGCTCCGGCGATAGGGCAGCTGCCTTCGGCAGTGTCTTGCTATGGAACTTGGCTTCGGGGTCAAAATATCAGTACTAATAATGGCAGGAACAACATGAGAAACCCTAAACCCTAAACCCTATACGTGTAATAAGCCCACACCTCCGAAACTGGAAAAGCTCTCGTCGCTCAAACCTCCACCCAGAACTCAACTCAGACACCCGACACCCCAAACCCTAAACCCTGAACCCCTGTTTTGCCCCATGGTACTCTTCTAGACCCAAGAGTGACCTAGGAATAAAAAGGGTGCCCCTTTTTGGTTTAAAGGTGCTTTTTTTTGGGAACCTGAGCCCTAAAAAAGGGAATAAGGGCCTACTCTAGGTCCTAGTCTTATAGATCCCCTACAGTACCCATTGAAGGAACCCTTGGAACATCAAAGCTCTCGTCGTTCAGCGCCTCCGTCGCCTCTGGTTCGGCCTCGGGTTCCTTTCGCAGGCCGGGCTTTAGGGTTCAGGGCTTTAGGGGTTTTTGGTTTAGAGGTTCAGGGCTTTAGGGGTTTAGAGTTTAGAGGTTTAGGGTTTGGGGGTTTAGAGTTTAGAGGTTTAGGGGTTTATGGATTAGGCTTTAGCCCGAACCCACTGCTAGGTTGTAACTACGGCATGATCCCCAAAATGTGGTACAGCACTCAAAGCAGTGGCCTGTGATCTACAGGGACGGTAGAGTGCTTTATTACATTCGGGTCTCGGGACTTGCGACTTAGCGTTCAGGGTGGTGGGGGTCCAAGGTGTAGGCTTCAACGCAAGTTTGGGACCGAATCTTAACCCAAAGGGTCCAAAGCACCTATATGATAGAATGTACGGGGTTCTATGTTAGGAATTACTACCATGATTCGGGGAAGTATCCCCCATAACAGTACTTAAACCCTAAACCCTAAACCCCTAAACCCTAAACTTAGGACCCTTTGGGTAAGAACTCAATCTTGAGAGTTTGAGTTTCGGATCCGCGGCTTCAGGTTTAGGGCTTCATGAAACGGGGAAGGTTTTATAATTGCACAAAAAACCCAAACTTGAGCGGAAAATAACCCAAAACGCTCAACCAAACTTGAGCGGAACAGAATTCCTAAAGCTCGCCTTTACTAGCGGATTGCAGTGCAATGAAACTTTGACTCTGACTCTGACCATGCCAAGAAGACTCGGCAGAGCCTACCGTACCTGCTCTCTACAAAGAGGAGCGAAGAAACCCGGGGTCCTCCGCTTTTGCGACAGGCGGAGGAAGGAAGGAGCCGGTCAGGTCCAAGAGATTCATGGGCAAAGATGCACCTGCCAAAGATTTTGTAGGGAGGGGTTAAGGGTTCAGCTTAGGGTTTGCAGTGGGGCCAAAGGAGGGTTTGACAAGCGGCCACAGGGGTTTATTTGGTCTTGGCTTTCCGGCTTGGTAGCCGGAAGGCCAAACAAACCCCTGGAATCCATGTATGAACATACTATATCATACCCCACGAACATGAGGGAAACCTAGCACTGAAATTTTTGGTGGTCTTTGAAGAACCCTTGCTGGGTTTGCAGGTTTGCACGCAAAGAGGGTATGCAGACGTGCGAGGTAATATTATGAGTTGCAACGGGTTTCGTGAACAGCCCGGTGTGGCTGTCTGGGATGTATAGACCTGGAATCCTCGTGGCTTTCAACGTTTCCAGCCCAGGCTTGAAGCCCTCAACGAACCCGAATCCACACCTTACTGTAGAATCGCTCAAATCATGATAACCACACCATACAATGCGTTGCACCAGTACACCGGACGGCATGTATATGCATACATATATAGACGTGTGCACAGATGCGTGTATACATACGTATACGTGTCTGTCTATCGTGCTCTCTATGATACGTACAAACTTACATACATACGTACGTACATACATACTTATACATAGATATGCATGTATGATCATGTATGTATCTACGTGTATATGTATACCTGTATGTATATACGCATGTGCGTGTATATACACAAATGTATACGCATGCCTATGTGGTCTGTGCCGGTCTATGCCAGATTTCACGAGTCAAGTCCAAGGTGCGGCGCGAATAGAACGAAGCACCAGTGCCCTGCATGTAGCAAAAAAGGCTGGCAGGCTTCAAGGCGTGCGGAGAGATCTTTAGGTTCAACGTTTCTGATGTAGAGCTTTGGCTCTCAATGGACTGATTGGGTTATTGAATTGAAACTTGGGGCTTGGCTTTTGTTGTATGGAGCTTCCGCGTGTGGAGGCGTGAGTCATGGTGAGCTCTGTGTCTCAGCTATCAGGCCTAAGTTGCTCGAGGACGAACGTTGCGAGTTAGCGCTGTTCGACATTGACCGGATAAGGAGTGGCATGTTCTATCCCAGCCAATCCCCTATCCGGAAGGGACTACGGTCTTTGGTCTTTGGAACAACTATTTGATTCTGGACGACCGAAAGCACAGATTCTGGACGACCGAAAGCACATCGCCTATCGTACGAAAGCCAAGTTGCTCCAGCGACTAAAACGAAGTTCTGGATTGGGCCGAGGGCCGGTGCCGAGGTACATCACATGCAATTTAAGACTCAAGAAACCCTAAGCCCAAAGGGTATTAGAGGGTGAAACATTGGGTGGGCGACTTGGATGTGAAACTAAGCTCACACACAGCACCACAGGTGCGTGTGGCGGTGTGCCCGGAGAGTCGACGCCCCCTGAAGCCTGAGCCCGGCCTACGCCCTAAACCCCAAAACCCTAAGCCCTAAACCCTATAAACCCTAAAGCCTAAAACCCTAAAGCCCGAAACCCCAAACCCAAAAGCGCTAAGCCCGAAGCCCTATAATTCCTAAACCCTAAACCCTAATAACTCTAAAACCCTAAACCCCAAACCCCATAGCCCTAAGCCCGAAACCTTTTCGTCCCTAACACCCTAAGAACTCTAAAGCCCTAAACCCAAAAATCTTATAAACCCCCCCTGAAGCCCGAAACCCTATAATAATTCCTAAACCCTAAACCCTAATAATTCTAAAGCCCTAAACCCAAACATCTCTTAAACCCCCTCTGAAGCCTGAGCCCGGCCTACGCCCTAAACCCCAAAACCGTAAACCCTAAACCCTATAAACCCTAGAAACCCTAAGCTCTGAAGGAGCCTCGGAGCTTCGGCGCCGATGTCGCCGCATCTCGGTCATGCGCCGGGCGTTGAAGCGCGGAGCCCGGGCAGCGAGCCGCTGTTTGGCCTTGTCTTCATGTGGGTGGCGGTGTGGTAGTGGGAGTGTTTCGAAACTACGGTCTGCCTCGCCGTCTCCCTCTCTCTCCCTCACTCTCTTACTCTCCCTCTGTCTATTTGTGTCTCTCTCTGGCCCTCTCTCCCACTCTCTATCTATCTCTCTCTCTCTCTCTCTCTCTCTCTCTCTCTCTCTCTCTCTCTCTATATATATATATATATATATATATCTCTCTCTCTCTCTCTCTCTCGCATTGTGTCTCTCTCGTTCTCGCATTGTCTGTCTCTCTCTCTCTCTCTCTCTCGCACTCTCTCTCGCGCCCTCTCTCTCTCTCTATATATATATATAAACACGAATATATAATGGGTATATACACATAATTACATATGTATATATATACTTTATATATATATATATATATATGCACGAACATGTATATGTAAATATGTGCACGTGTGTACATTGTAGAAATAGACAGTTACTTGTAGATAGATATACACACATAAGGAAAGAAATAGACCTTGTTTTGGCAATCCAAGATTCCATTTTGGTGGGTTCTTATAACTAAATGTGCTTTATTTATTATAGGGTTGTAGAAGATCACTGTATGGGTCTGACGGTTTTTGTTCTTTACATTGTCTCTCTGGGGTTTATCAGGCTCACCTGTGCTCGTCGGAAACGTCCGGTGCCCTTGATCAGCTCTCGATGCCTCGTCACCTACTCTCGAGCCACTCTCGAAACTCCCGTATGGCTGGTAGTTGGGTTCATGCGCTTTATAGGGGTCTCTCGTTGACGCCTGTGCCTCGGTGTTTGTGTTTTGAGGGTTTGGGGCTATGGGGTTCGAGCCGTTCAAGCTCGGGGCAAGTTCTTCTTATATTAAGGTTCAAGGCTTCGGATAGCGGGCATGGGGGTTTCGCAGGGTTTTCGGTGCTAGCCGGATCGTTGCCAGCTTTGTAGCTCAACGGACCTGGCTGGAAACAAGCCTAAACTCCCAAACACCAAACCCAAATATTGCACCCCAAATCAATATAATCCTAAACTCCAAATTCCAAAAGCAACCCTAAACCCCACATCCCATCGATAGACCCTGAACCCTATATACCCCAAATTCTAAACCAAAACAAACCAGAAGCCTAAACCCTAAACTCTATATTATAGTACCCGTATAGATCTCTTATAGACCCGTTAAAGGAACCCTAAACCCCAAAACATCCGGAACCCTCGGAACCCCATAAACCCTAAAACTCTTGCCCAAGGGGCCTCAAGCAGGATGGACTTGTCGACCGAGTCCTAGAGCTGGTATGGGTAGAACTACCCGTACCGCCCCATAGGGTTTAGGGCCTTACCAGGAGACCCCCAATGACCCTTTAATGGTTTTATGGCACACCCCCCCCCCCCCCTATGGGCCTGAATAGTTGGTGTTTAGGGAGTGTTAGAGAATAGTTGGGGGGGGGTCTGAGTAGGGTTCAGAGTCTCGGTTTACATTTCAGAGTTTGAGAACCCGAGCTTGATGCATGCCTCCAGACGATTTTCGTAGATTTCAAGGAGTTTGACGCTGTCTAGTCTTGGAGATGGGAGTCAGACTCTTTTGCCAGGGTCGTTCCTATTTGGGGCTCAATGTGGCGTTATATATTTAGGACCCTAAATTGTACAATGGAGACTACAGGTAGGGCTTTAGGATGCATGGACGTCATTAGGCCGCTCTTGCTTTTGTGCTTTTTAGTTGTCCCACATAGCTCAACCGTAGGTTCAAGCAAACCCTAACCCCAAAGCCGTAAACTCTCAAGTCTAAAGCTAAACCCTCCAAAGTAGGCAAAACCATGGCCCAATACCCATAAAAAGGCTATTATTCTACATAGTTTTGGGGTCCAGGAAGCCATATAGCCCTAAACCCCTAGGCCCTTGGCCCCGTCAAGGTATCAACACATTGATGCCAGGGCTTCGGGTGAGGCGACCCTCAGCACCTGAACATCAGGGCTCTATAACCCTAGGGTCCATGTACTCATATAGTTTAGGGTTTAGGGTTTAGGGTTTAGGGTACTCATATAATATATAAGCATTGGCCTTAAAGCACTCCCTCTATAGGTACATTGGGCCCAAGGTATATACTATTTGGGTACATGGACCCTTAGGGTAAGGGTTCTGCAAGGCCAGGTTAGGCCTGGGAGGCTTCGTTTGGGTGTGGGATTTACTCGGAACCTGACAGCGTGTAGAACAGTGAACACAAAGAATATCCCATCAGGAATCGGCATTCCCTGCTCATCCTACACCCCCGGCCAGGTGCTGAGTGTAAATCAAAAGCAGTATACACCCTAGGGCTCCGGTTACCTAAATAGTAGGTTACTAACCATATATTCTATACCCCAGTAACCTACTATTTAGGTAGCTGGAGCCCGGGCCCTAGGGATAGTCAGAAGCTATGCTTTTCGCAACTTCTTCGTGGAAGCCGGGCTGCGAGTGCTTGCTGAGCAGCTCGAAACCGTGGCTGGTCAGCCTCATCTCGAAATCATACTCAAGGCTTTAAGATGGTTTAAGTTACGGTTTAGAAGTTTAATAGGGTTTAGGGAAGATGGGTTAATGAAGTTCAATAGGGTTGGGGTGCAGAAGGTCTCGAACAAGGTCTCCACAGCATGGGTTTCGGGGTGAAGGTCTTAGGAAAGCAAGCGTATAAGTGGGAACGTTTTGGGGCGAATGCAGGGTGCAGGTTTGAGGGTCTAGGGAACTAGAACTGAGACCCTCAACCCTCAAGTTCGGAGAATTAAAGCCTTTCTCCCAGGGGATGGATCACGGTCCAAGGTACTATTATGGGGGATACTTTCCCAAATCATCATCAGGATTCCTAGAATAAGAACCCTACATTCTACGATATAGGTACTTGGGGTCTCTGGCGCGTTCGCTGACTTGGGATTTTCAAACCCTAAACCCCCAAAGTAGAAGCCCAAAAGTTGGAAACCCTGTAGCCTGAATCCCTAAGAGTAATGTATAGGGAATCCCAGCACTATTTGGCCTTAATCCGGTGTTTCCAACTTTTTGGGGTTAAACTGTAAACCGTCACGGGCAGGGAGGACCTGGGATTGAGATCTGGGGTCGAAGCTGTGCTTGGAGGATCATGGGACTTAGTAAGTAAGGTTATAAGTACCCTAATTGGGGTTATAAGAAGTTATAAGTACAGTTACCCTAATTATAACTCTAGTTACTAAGTCCCATGATCCTTAAAGTGTTGCAGGCCTTTCTGGACAGGGTGCACCAGGCAAACACGAAGCCCAAACTCCTACGTAAAGTATCATGGGACTTAGTAACCAGGGTTCCTTAAAGCGTTCTTAAAAAGGGATCCATAAGGGCTCTAAACGAGGCGGTTTTAGAGCTACTACTAAAGGATCATGGGACTTAGGGTAACTATACTGTTAACTACTTATAACCCCAATTAGGGTACTTGTAACCTGACTTACTAAGTTCCATGATCCTTCAAGCAGACCCTAAACCCTAAATACACTCGATCCCTGCAGGCCGAACTCGGGCCCACTTAGAGCAAGTTGCAGGAATCGTCATGAACTCAGCCAAGAGCAGAAGGCGGATTTAAGCGTTCGGTCTAGGAAATACCGTCTACGCAACCTTAAGAGTGCACGTACATCTCTGTACACATATGCACAACATATACTTCAAGCATGATCTCTCTTTGTCTCCTTGTGTATTTAGTATCTGCTTACACACTTTCTTCACACATCATATCACATCCTGGGGTGCAAGGGGTCGTGGAGAGAGCAACTCCTGGGACACTGCAACACTTAAAACCAATGCCTCCCGAAGCACATAAGGCATCCCTTTGCAGCATGCCCTGCAGCACCGCCTGGGGCTTACGGCTTGTAGGGTTTAGGGCCCAGGTTGATAACAGAAGTCCCAGACGCAAGGTTCTCCTCCAGGCGCGTCGCTACAAGCTCCAACTCCTCTTTCCTCGCAGCCGGGGCTCTGTGATGTGATTCCATACGTGTTTGCATGTCTGCATGTAGCCAGGTATTAAGGGGATCTGAGGCCCGAACTATAAGGTCCTTGGAAGCATTGAGAAAGGTACTGACAAGGAGCCACGGAGCAAGAGCAAGATTGCAGGCCAAGGCAAATCCCTCCGGGTGAGTGTCAATGCCGAAGACACCCAGGAAGACCACAGGCGAAGTTGGAGCTTGTGTGAAACTTTCCTAAATCGTGAACTTTGAGCCTTAGACCCTACACCCTAACTCTCAAACCCAAACGTAAACCCCAACAGCTTCGAGCCTTAAACCCTACACCCTAAATGTTGAAGCCAAACGTAAAAACCCAACAGCAGTCACTGTTGTCTGTCTTGGCTGAGTCCTGAAACCGAAGAGCGAGGTTCTGAAATATTTTTAAGCCTTCTTGCTGTTATGTTTCCTTGAGGGTCTAGGGTTTAGGGGTTCAGGGCTTAGGGGTTTAGCGTTATCGGGTTTAGGTTGTAGGGGTCTGGTTAGGGTTTAGGGGCTTAGGGGTCCATTACTTCAACTTGGAATGACACGGAAACTATATCGTGTCATGATAGATCTTTGCATGTTGCGAACTTAAAGTGAGTTCGATAACAAGAGCCCAACTGTACGTCGATGTGCCCAGCAAAGGGTACCTGAAAAGGTCCCTATCAGGGTTCCATAAGGGCAATAGTGTGGGTTTTGTAGGGTGCGAACAGGCTGTGGCGCCGGTTTCGGGTATGCGAATCCAAGCGCATATGGGTGGTTGCCAAAATTATGGTCCCGTTTTGGGGTCCTTAATATAATAATTACGGCACCTGATACTTAGGGTACCCAAAAAGGGACTTTAATTTTGACAACTACCCATATGTAGCTATGATTAGGCCTGAAATGGGTTCCTGCATAGGTACTATACACTATACGGTCAGAGTATAGACTGTATTACATGGACACATGGGCCCTTAGCGTCTTGCACCCGAGGCAGCCAAGGCTCACATGCTTCAAGCTGCATCGTTTGCACAGCCAGCACGGAAGGTTCAGGGTGTAGTTGCAGGCATCGCATACCTCATCGATGCCAACTTCCGCCTCTATTTTTCACTATATTGTCCTATATCCTAAACCATCCTTTTATTTTGCCATCTTCGAATCATGGGCTTTTTCAGGCATTCAGTGTGAACCCGATTGCCGGCTGGCCGGCTGGGTCTAGCACGTGAGCCTAGATGGGAAATCCGAAAAGTAGGGGTACCTTATTTCCGGGCCCTTGCAATAACAAGGATCCTACGAGTTGGGGTACTATCTCAGGTTGTCCTATTTTCGCAAATTCCCAGATGATTGGACTAGGGTTTGGGGTATAGTGTCATACACATTTTACCGTTCATTACATGGGACTTCTTCGAACTACTGAGAGGCGATGAAAAGCCGAGCCCGGTGAAAGGCAGGCTCAGGTTAAAGCCAAAGCCTGGGATGGCTTTGCTACCGCCACAGGCAGGTAAAGGACACCGATGGGGTTTTCTTGCATTGAAGGTTGGTCATGGAAAGAAACATGGAGGGGTTGCAGCCATGCTTGATGCTCCCAACCGGAAATCGTAAAAACCTAAAGGCCTGAGCCGTTAAACCCTTTTCCCTTGAGCATTGCAAACGCAAACCCTCAAGCCCTGTAGCCCTAAACTCCCTGACTGATCCTCTGCCGCGATGCCCAATGCACGGTGGCTTCCTCTGCTTCGTTGCCGGCTTCCTGCATAGGAAAAGCCGAAATACCTCTGCTTCCCTGAGGCGTGAAAATGACCAGCCCCACGCATCCAAGTTTTTTGACAAGATCGATGGACCCAAAGGGTCCAAAGTAAGAAGCTGCATAGTAGACAGTAGGACTTCTATTGATTGCGGGAATTCCCATTACTAGGATGCCCAGTAACCTAGGAATGAAAAGGGCTCCCTTTTTGATTTTGGTATTGGGTAACTTTATACGGAACCTAGGACTACAAAAAGGGAATAAGGGTACTATAAGGGGCCTACTGGGCATCCTAGATTATGGTTTGGGGAAGTGCTCCGGCTTTGCAGAACTCCACACCCGAGGTAGCTCCGGTGGCTGGAGTCCTGCGACGCGCTGCTGCTAATCTAGGGGCCTTGATCATTAGAATAGGGTATTGGGGCCCGCTATCATTATACTATACTTATAGTATGGAACCCCCACCAAAAGTAGCAAAACTTTGGATCGCAAACTGAAATCGCTGCAGATGCTGTCACCGTGTACTGTGTCTACGGTCTACATAATAGCTTTCAGGGCTTAGGGTTTAGCGCACCCTGCACAATTTACCGCCATGCCGGACGCAATGAAAATCAACCCCTCCGCCCTATCAACACATTCCCAAGCCATGAACCCCCAGCGTAAATCTCTCATGCCAGACTAAGCCCCTCAACCCTCAAGCGCCTAATATAGGGGCCTTAATAATTAGAATAGGCTTGTGGGGCCTATTATACCATACTTATTACTTATGGTAATGGTAGGGAACCCCCCAAGATAGTATAGGTAATTATCATAGGGCCCCTACAGTAAATCCTGTCAAGATTTCCCCGACAACTACGTCCTAAACTCCCCCATAGTGGGTAAAATAATGGCCCAATACCCATAGAAGGGTTATTATTCCACATACTCTTGGGGTCCAGGTATAGATCCCTTATAGTACCCTTTGAAGGAACCGTAAGAACTTCAAGATAGTCTAGCAAATTATGATAGGGCCCGTACAGTGAATCCCTAAACCCTAAATCCTGAACCCTAGATTTCCCCGACAGCTATGTAAGGCTCGCACGGAGCTCGTTGACTCCCCGCTGTCCTGCCGGCCGGGTTCGGGATGAGGCGTTTTCGGGTTTGGGGTTCCAGGAGCTCGCGCTAAGGCTCCTAAGAGGGTCTTGGGCTTTCTGGAGTAGGGTTTCGGCTTTGGAAGCTAGGGTTTGGGATCTCACTACGAGGGTCCAGGAGCCTTAGCGTATTATATATATATATATATATATATATGTCTTTATTTATAACACACACACATATATATATATATATATGTATATATATATATATATATATATATATTATATATTATATGTAGAGGCTATATCCGCTACGAGTATCTATGCAAACGAGTCTCGGGATAAGGGTTTCAGGGTTTAGGGTTGTATGATGCGCTGTATGTAATGGTGCTGCTGGCAGCTATGGTAGCCTACCACAAAAGTCACTGGGAGTCTTGGCTTAGCTTGAAGCACCGTGGATTTCTGAACTTGCAGTACCATGGACGTCGTCTGGTCATAGGGTCTTTGTCCAAGACCTCTCAAGGTTACCAACTCAGCTCCCTCGTTCTTGGCCCCAAACCCCATGAAATCCTTCCAGGCTCGAAACCCACAAAGCCCTGGCCATGTACTCCAAGCTTTGAAAGCCTTACAAAGAGCAACTCAAACCCTGGGCATCCCTCAACCCTCAATCCTGAATCCCATCCAGTACAGGGACGAGAGTAAACAGAGTAAACCATAAACCCAAACCCTATATAGTAGAGGTCAGAAAGTTTCAACATCGTTATCTTCGTGTCCTTAAGGTAAAGTGTAAGGGATCCTAGTGCTAATCCTCCTAAAGCCATGTTCCAACTTTCTGGCTTCTATCATAGACCTAAACACTACCTAAACTCCCCAAAGTAGGAAATAATGGCCCAATACCCATAAAAGGCTGTTATTCTACATACTTTGGGGGTCCAGGTAAACCCTATACACCTTAGGCGCTTAACCCTAAACCTCTTACGCCCTGGCCCTTCCGAAGCCTGGCGAACGTAGTCGGCGACGTTGACGCTTTGCGTCGCAATGGCCTGACCCAAATAGGGCCCCCAAAAAGCACGTAAGCAAAAATTGGGATGGGGATATCCCCTTTAAACCCCCATATAATGATGCCTGATAAGGTAGGGATATCCCTATAAAATGCTTATGCTTATGTGCTTCTTGGGGTCCCCACCAAAGGGTCCTATGGTTTAGGGTTTAGGCCTATAGTAGAAGCATGGTAGTTCCTTGTTGGGATTGCCTTAGGGTATATAGGTACTGTTGCGGGGATACTTTCGCACATCATACATCAAGGATTCCTAACACAGACACCCTATACATTCTACCAAAAGATCCAAATATTTGTATAATGGAACCTAGGGCCAATATCATGATTGGGAAAATATTCCATTACAGTACCCAGGACCCCACCACAACCTTCGTCATGACCGTTGTAACGAAGCAAAGCAGCTCAACTAGTATTGTACTGACGGGACTGAGCGTATCGTTGTAATTATGTGTAGGGAAACTATAGCCATAACATGTTATAACACATGTTGGGCGACTTCTAGCTAACCCCACTTATAACTACCCATGCAGCTTTGAGTAGCCCAAAGGATCGCATGATACTTGTGACCGCACTATGTTTGCCGACCTCGCGGGTAGGAGCATGCTGCCTCGGCTTTCGAGATCGGGAAGCTCTTCGGGTAGAGAGGCAACCCTAGGGCTCCGGTTACCTAAATAGTAGGTTACTAACCATATATTCTATACCCTACCCCAGTAACCTACTATTTAGGTAGCTGGAGCCCTAGGGCAACGCAACGAAGGCCCTTGCGTGTGTGTTGGGGCTATAGGAAGAGGTCGCCGGGCTGGCGACTAACTCGATACTCTAACGTACCAGAACCTACTTCTTTGTAGTGTGCCTATAAATCCATATTGGGGCCCGGAGCCAAGTTCCCGAAACTACAAAACCTTAATAGGGGTCCATGTGCCTTCATATTGGTAGGGTTCTTTAAGGGAGCCAGAAAGTCTTAGGATATATTGGGTTTCACCAAATGACAGACGCCCTGAAGTCCTGAAGCTTGAGCTCTGATGCATGCATCAGCTGCCATGCACCCTATGCTCTGGCCTGTCACTGAAATGATCTCAATCTTCCTATAGTCTCCATTGTCGTTCCTTTATATAGGGTTATAAATACAAAAATGGATAAACCAAAACAGGAACTACAATGGAGACTAGAGGTATCGTGCTGCTCCCGCAACTTGAACTTTGGCAGTCGTGGATCTGCGACATCATCCTCGACATCATGAATCATGAACACCACCAGACTGCATCTGTGTCTTGACCAAGTCCATCATGCGCATGAGCCTGGTACACAATCTGAGCTCGGCACGCTGCTTGCTCAGGGGCGACGCCTGCAGAACAGAACACGGAAGCTCATCAGCAAGGAAGCTTCAACCCCAGAAAGCATCACCCTGAGTCATAAAATCACAGATCGGTGAGATGCGGATTCAGAGCAGCATATATTAAGGTCAATACACTGCCCTGAATCATCTTAAGGCAGAAGCTTGTCCCTACATCTGCTGTGGGCCCTCCCTGTAAGTCCCGCGGACAGGGTAGAAGTTGCCAGGAGACAGAAGAGCCCTGCGAAGATCAACTCCTAAGATCATCGAGCCCTAAACCACTATGAAGTCCGAAAATCCAGAGCCCTGAAGCAAAGAGCCCTGCTCATCACAACTGCAACCCCAAAAGCGCAGCACAACCCCACCGAAAAGAACAAACCAAACTACCTACCAAACGCCAGGATTCCCACCCCACTGCAATGAGTGGAAAAGAAACCAGCCTTGTTATAAACCCTATAAGCCTACAACCCCTATAAAGCCTACTACCCAAAGGATCAAATATGCCTATGTAGTATAGAATGTACGGTGCTATGTCGGGAACCTTATTAAGATTCGGGAAGGTATCCCCCATAGCAGTACCTGGGACCCGTGAAAGTATTGGGATAAAAACGAAGAGGGCACCTGTGAGATCTCTGGGAGAGGCCGCCAGCGTTCCGCAATCGAAGCATCGGCCCTGGTACCTTTTCCCACCGGCTCGTATAGGATGAGTACTTCTATGGGGGATGCTTTCCTAAATTGTATGCGCAATTCCTTATTATGGAAGCGGTGCAGTCTAGATGGGATACCTTCCTGCAATGATGACAGTCCCCAATTCTGGAAATGATACATCAAATGGGTGAGATTTTCATAAGTCAGAATAGTAGTTAATTACTAATATGGACTGGAATTACTGCTTTTTACAATGTAAGCTTCAGGGCCCTAAATCCCAACTCTACGAGTTCGAAATCCTAAACCCTAAAGCTCTAAATCCTAAATCCCTAAGAGCTCTAAATCCTAAACCCCAGACCCTACAACCCCTAAACCCTTAAACCTAAACCCAAAGCGCTTGCAGAAACTCTCCTGCGACCCGTTGAGCTTCCAGAGCGATTCTGGAGTCTCTCGCTTCCCAAGGGTGGGGTTTGGGGGTTTGGTATTATGCAATCGGTCATGCGGACCGTCAGGACACGAGGCACTTGGCGACTAAATGGACGCCTCTATCCAAGGGTAAAAGGAAGGACCCTTAATAGGGACCTCTAGGTATATACCCGTAATACTGCGCCGGTCCGAAAGTTCGTCGCACTCTATGTTGTCCACTGACAACATGTGTGTTCAAGACCCCTTTTCCCCGTAGACTCCTCCAGAAGTCCTCCGCCGGGAACAATTATAGTACTCCTCCAGAAGTCCTCCGCCGGGAACAATTATAGTACTCCTCCAGAAGTCCTCCGCCGGGAACAATTATAGTACTCCTCCAGAAGTCCTCCGCCGGGAACAATTATAGTACTCCTCCAGAAGTCTTCCGCCGGGAACAATTATAGTACTCCTCCAGAAGTCCTCCGCCGGGAACAATTATAGTACTCCTCCAGAAGTCCTCCGCCGGGAACAATTATAGTACTCCTCCAGAAGTCCTCCGCCGGGAACAATTATAGTACTCCTCCAGAAGTCCTCCGCCGGGAACAATTATAGTACTCCTCCAGAAGTCCTCCGCCGGGAACAATTATAGTACTCCTCCAGAAGTCCTCCGCCGGGAACAATTATAGTACTCCTCCAGAAGTCCTCCGCCGGGAACAATTATAGTACTCCTCCAGAAGTCCTCCGCCGGGAACAATTATAGTACTCCTCCAGAAGTCCTCCGCCGGGAACAATTATAGTACTCCTCCAGAAGTCCTCCGCCGGGAACAATTATAGTACTCCTCCAGAAGTCCTCCGCCGGGAACAATTATAGTACTCCTCCAGAAGTCCTCCGCCGGGAACAATTATAGTACTCCTCCAGAAGTCCTCCGCCGGGAACAATTATAGTACTCCTCCAGAAGTCCTCCGCCGGGAACAATTATAGTACTCCTCCAGAAGTCCTCCGCCGGGAACAATTATAGTACTCCTCCAGAAGTCCTCCGCCGGGAACAATTATAGTACTCCTCCAGAAGTCCTCCGCCGGGAACAATTATAGTACTCCTCCAGAAGTCCTCCGCCGGGAACAATTATAGTACTCCTCCAGAAGTCCTCCGCCGGGAACAATTATAGTACTCCTCCAGAAGTCCTCCGCCGGGAACAATTATAGTACTCCTCCAGAAGTCCTCCGCCGGGAACAATTATAGTACTCCTCCAGAAGTCCTCCGCCGGGAACAATTATAGTACTCCTCCAGAAGTCCTCCGCCGGGAACAATTATAGTACTCCTCCAGAAGTCCTCCGCCGGGAACAATTATAGTACTCCTCCAGAAGTCCTCCGCCGGGAACAATTATAGTACTCCTCCAGAAGTCCTCCGCCGGGAACAATTATAGTACTCCTCCAGAAGTCCTCCGCCGGGAACAATTATAGTACTCCTCCAGAAGTCCTCCGCCGGGAACAATTATAGTACTCCTCCAGAAGTCCTCCGCCGGGAACAGATCCTCCGCCGGGAACAATTATAGTACTCCTCCAGAAGTCCTCCGCCGGGAACAATTATAGTACTCCTCCAGAAGTCCTCCGCCGGGAACAATTATAGTACTCCTCCAGAAGTCCTCCGCCGGGAACAATTATAGTACTCCTCCAGAAGTCCTCCGCCGGGAACAATTATAGTACTCCTCCAGAAGTCCTCCGCCGGGAACAATTATAGTACTCCTCCAGAAGTCCTCCGCCGGGAACAATTATAGAAGTCCTCCGCCGGGAACAATTATAGTACTCCTCCAGAAGTCCTCCGCCGGGAACAATTATAGTACTCCTCCAGAAGTCCTCCGCCGGGAACAATTATAGTACTCCTCCAGAAGTCCTCCGCCGGGAACAATTATAGTACAGAAGTCCTCCGCCGGGAACAATTATAGTACTCCTCCAGAAGTCCTCCGCCGGGAACAATTATAGTACTCCTCCAGAAGTCCTCCGCCGGGAACAATTATAGTACTCCTCCAGAAGTCCTCCGCCGGGAACAATTATAGTACTCCTCCAGAAGTCCTCCGCCGGGAACAATTATAGTACTCCTCCAGAAGTCCTCCGCCGGGAACAATTATAGTACTCCTCCAGAAGTCCTCCGCCGGGAACAATTATAGTACTCCTCCAGAAGTCCTCCGCCGGGAACAATTATAGTACTCCTCCAGAAGTCCTCCGCCGGGAACAATTATAGTACTCCTCCAGAAGTCCTCCGCCGGGAACAATTATAGTACTCCTCCAGAAGTCCTCCGCCGGGAACAATTATAGTACTCCTCCAGAAGTCCTCCGCCGGGAACAATTATAGTACTCCTCCAGAAGTCCTCCGCCGGGAACGATTATAGTACTATAATTTCATTCCCGGATGATAATTCCTCCGCTACCCAGGCTAGGGCATTCCTCACATCCCGGACTCCGCGTACTCCGTTCAGTGTTGCTAGCGGATGCGACGAAACTTTAGTACCGGACATGTATAGCTATTATATACCAATTATATAGCCCATTGGGTACGGGTCCCCATTAAGGGTCCCTCCTCTTCCCCTTTGACTCTAGAAAGGCCCGAGGCCGCGGAATCTGAGCTCTGTGCGACGCATCCTCCGGCATGGCTCCCGTGGCCTGAAGTTTAGGCTTTTAAGCTTCGGTTTCCGGGGTCCGGGTGTACCCCCAAAACCCCTAAACCCTAGACCCCAAACCCGAAACCTTATAAACCCCAAAACCCCAAATTTCTGAACCTCTCCCTTTGCTGTGCCTCCGTCATGAGGTGGCCACGTGGACACCTCGGCCTGTAGCTTCCGCGGGGCAACTTGGAGAAGTACTTAACGGATCATGGGACTTAGGAACTAGGGTTCCTTAAAGGGCTCCTCAATGGGGATCTATATGGATTCCACAAGAGGGAATTTAGGGTAGGGTTACTTACAGGATCATGGGACTTAGGAACTAGGGTTATAATCAGGGTCACTATACTTACAACCTTATAACCTTACTTACTAAGTCCCATGATCCTCCAAGTAAGGGCTTCCGGATATCTGGGGCCTTTTTTAAAGCGATCCTTAGCGGTTCCTGTGAGGGATCTTTAAAGGGATCCTTAAGGGCTCCGTTAAGGGATCTATCAGGGATCTTTTATCGGGTTTAGGGTAGAGTAGTGTCCAGTCTTCGATTCTTTAAAGGGTTCTATCAGAGTTTCCTTTAATGGATCCTTCAAGGGATCTTTTAACGAATCCTTTAAGGGTTCCTGTTAAGGGCTTACTATAAGAGGCTTTATGCAAGAAGTCCTGCTTTCACGAAAACATGGTAGAGCCCTCTGGGAACCCGTAACCCGAAGGCTCCATGTACCTTTATAGTAGATACTTAAGCCTTAAAGGGGTCTCCATATAGGTACTTGAAGGCCTTTTCATATACTATATGGGCACATGGAGTTGTAGGGTAAAGGAACTTAAACATGGTAGACTTGGTAGAGCCCAGACCTTCCAATGTCCCGCAATGAAGGAATATACAGTGAGTAGGACCCCTGATATATTTAGGGTACATTCCTTAATTGGTATAGTACCCCAACAGCAAACCCAATAATACACCCTTATCGATCCCCTTCCGGAACCCTCGTATGGGATATTTGGAGGATCATGGGACTTAGTAAATAAGGTTATAAGTACCTTAATTGCGGTTATAAGTATAGTTACCCTAATTATGACCCTAGTTACTAAGTCCCATGATCCTTTAAGTAACCCTGCCCTAAATTCCCTCTTATAGATTCCATATAGATCCCCAGTAAGTATAGTTATGATGACCCTAGTTACTAAGTCCCGTGATCCTTTAAGTACCCAAAGGGTCCGAAGTACCTTTATAGTAGAATGTAGGGTTTCTCTTTTAGGAATTCCTATTATGATTTGGGGAAGTACCCCCCATAACCATACTTTGGACCCTTTGGGGTATTGGAAGGTCTGGGACCCGTCCTTTCGACCCAACGCTCCGCGGCCCGAGCCGGAGGTTGGGTTGCAGCTTGCGAACGCCCACCTTCCCAAGAGGAAGGGTTCTGACCGGGTTCTGCAGGGTTTCTGAACGGGGTTCTATAAGGTTTCTGTTTAAAGGGGTTCTATAAGGGTTTCTGTCTTCCCAAGAGGAAGTGTTCCGTTGGGTACTGCCCCCATACAGTAACAATCAAAAATATGGCTACGTACGATTAAGGGCCTAATATGTCTAGATTATGAAGATTATCCGACTGTTACTGAGTGGGGGCAGCACTTAAGGGTTCTGCAGGGCTGCTGAACGAGGTTCTATAAGGTTTCTGTTTAAAGTTCTATAAGGGTTTCTGTTAAGGGGTTCTATAAGAAGGGTTTCTTCAGGGGTTGTCAAGAGGTTCTACTGGGGTTGGGGTTCCGTAAAATGCAGGGTTTAGGTTTTCAACCGCTTTTTGTAAGCCTTCTGTTTTGCTTGGTTTTTGTGAGGGTTTGATAACATCTTGTAAGGATTTTAAAATTTAACGGTTGTTGTAAAAGTTCTTTGGGGTTTTCTGCAAGGGGGGTTTACCAATCCTTCTAGTCCATTTAAAGGGCTTGGGGGCAAAGACGGGCAAACAGCTCAAGTTAAGCCGTCATTACGGAACAGGCTCGCTGTGCCATGATACCCCAAAGGCTCAAATTCGAGCAGCAGCGTCTTGTAGTACGGTCCTTGGGCATCAGCAGCTCCATCCGAGGATGGGTTTGCTCTGCTTGTGGTAGGACTTTGCCTCAAACTACGATGTCCCAGCAATGGTATATTAGGGTGTCTGAGAAAGACCTACATAGCAAGGTGTGTTGTGCTCTGTCTTTAAAGGTGCTCCAGAACTACACCCACGAACTTTCGGGTTCTCAGCTTTACCCTACCACCCCAATAAGTTGGGGGCCTGAACAGGTAGAATAGGGATTTGGGGGTCTCTTATACTGTAATTCCAAGAAGAACCCCCCCCCCAAATAGTATTGGTCATGATTTGAGCCCCTAAAGCATTCTACCTTCGGCCAAAGCCCAAACCATCATATCCATTGACGACACGCTGACCTGCTGAATTCGCAGAGACTGCCGGCTTAAAAGTAGTACAGTAGAAGCCCAACTTTTGGAAACCAATAGCCTCAATCCTTAAGAGTCATGTTTAGGGCATCCCAGCACTAATTGTCCTCAGTCCGGTTTCCATCGTGTTGGGGTTTACTATACATTGGGCTGCTCGAACTGTTCTGGTGATCAAAGCGAGTGGCGGCCCCAAAACCCTGGCCCTCTACCACGCGGCAACAACCCTGAACTATCCACTTAATCAGTAGAATAGGGTTTTGGGGCCCATTCTACTATAATAAGGACCCCCCCCCAAAAAAAAAAAAGTAGAGCTAAATATTTACGCGCCGAAATACAGTTTCCCCCTAGTAACCCTTTATATAACCTTACGGACCTTGAGCGAACCAGGGCTCCATATTTTACCTTGCAGGGTCTACCTTAACCTTTAACCCTGAAAAACCCACCTTTTTAGGGTTCCTTACTATGATTTCTTTCTATAAGTCCTTAGAAATGTAGGTTCTTTGGGGTTCAGGTAGCCCCAATCCCAATCTGGTGGAAGGCCTTGAGATCGAGGCCCAGCGTTCCCATGGACAGGTGCAGCTGTCGACATTTCCGCAGAAGGAGCTGGCATGGCAGCAGAGGAGGGAGTGGAAAGGAGGGTCTTTGACAGTGCATGACTATACTGAACTCAGAACCCTAGCAAAAAATATAAATTTAGCTGTTTCTTAGGGATTATAACCAAACATTAACAATTATTTCTAAGTACCCCTAAGATGAATGGTCGCCCTGGAATCCCCGTGCCTCCATGGCAGCTGCTACCTCCTACAAACACAACCCCAACCTTCCAGTCCAGACCTTCCCAATTTGCCCTAAAAGCCCCCGGATGTGGATAATTAGGGCCCCTTTTCGATCCCCATAACAGTACGGCCCTTATCTAAAGAGATCCCTGCAAGGGACCCCTGAAACCCAGTAGAACCCATATAGTGCCCTTCTAGACACCCTACATAGCCCTTCCAGGTCCCTTTAAGGAACCCTAAAAGGGAGCCGAAATTTAGAGAATGTGGTTGCTTGAAGATGTTGCTCAGCTCTGCAAGGCTTGTTTCTCGAAGCCAGGAGCGGTTTTCTTAACTGGGTTTAAGGTTCAGGGTCTAACGTAGGAACCTGATCATTAGGGTTCCTTTATAATATGAATCCTGCTATTTTGGGGTTCTAGGGCCAGGGTTTCTTAATCAGGTTCCTACATTATTGAGTTCACACCACAGGTTTAGCAGCCTTCTTACGTGGTCCAGGGGACAGACCTTAAAGCCTTGAATGCTTGGCGTTCGGTTCTAGCCGGATTGCATCAGCCCCAAGCTCCCACCAAAAACCTGTTCGTGCGAACACCCGGTTTAGGGTTTAGGCTTCAGGGTTTAGGGTTCAGGGTTCAGGGTTTAGGGTTAAGGGTTTAGGGTCTAGGGTTTAGGGTCGACGAAGTGAGGCTAGTCCTGTGCAGAACTGCGTACAGGCTTACTATGCTGTGGCTAGAGAAAGACAGTAACCTAGCTTGGACGTAGGACCTAGCACAAATGATCTATAATAACTGGGCTTGTCAGCGCGTGCCTGAATCTGCACGCACTTCTCGATCAGTGCCTTGGTCATTGTTTGGACTCAGTACAAATTTCGACGGCCTGGGGTGCAAGATGTAGACGAGGGTGAAAAGCATTCGAGAGGGTAGAAGAATCTTGTGCACTCACGCAGAAAAGTGATCCCATTCCGTCTGACTTTTCCTTGATATTCAAGTGGACTGGCCGTCTCGCATGAATCCGATCCTGCAAACTTAGATGGATGCTGGGATGTCATACCACGGCTATTTCAGGACAGTCTAATGCATCGTGTAGTGACTCTAGTATAGATAGATTTCTGGACCTGCAGGCAAGCGAAACTGCAATCGGATGTAGACGCCACTTCATACGGACGAATAAATTCGAATGACTGACTGACTATAGGCTAGAGTGCTTCGGGGTCTCTATATACTATGGAGTATTCAGGAACCATAAGAGTGATGCAGTTCTACCAGTTACTCTGGCCCGCCCCCCATCTTGAAGCACTGAACAGCCCATCAACAATTGCAAGACCCAATTATATAAATGAATGTAGCTCGTTAAGCACCAGCAGAAGCCACCATCTAATCATGCAGTCTAAACTCCAGACTACAATGCTTGTGGAAGTAGCAGAAAACACCATGAACCCTAAACCCTAAACCTAAACCGATCCTGAACCCTAAACCCTAAACCCCTACACCCCTAAACCCTAAACCCTAAAATCAAGTCCTACACCCCTAAACCGTACTGAAGCCCCTGTTTGTTACCCAGGACCGGCCTCGCGATGTTCCTTGTAGTCTGCATTGATGGGAAGCCCTGCTGCCTCCAGGGTTTACCTTAACCCTGAAGAACCTACCTTTTTTAGGACTTTATATAAGGAAATCATGAATCGGGAACCCGAAAAAGGTAGGTTCTTCAGGGTTAAGGTTGGGTTTGGGGTTGAGGGTCTAGGCTTTAGGATTTACGGTTGATAGGGTTTTTAGGGTTTATGGGGTTCATAGAGTTTATAGGGCTTGTAGGGTTTAGGGCTTGGGTTTAGGGCGCTGAGAAAACTTCGGGTTTAGGGTTTGGGGAACGTGAGGGCCTAAAGACTCTGACTATTCCCGAACTCAGCCTCTGCACTCGCAATAGAACTGTTGGCAATCCCAGCCTCATAACCCCAAAGGGTCCGAAGTACCTTTACAGTAGAATGTAGGGTTTCTCTATTAGGAATTCCTATTATGATTTGGGTAAGTATCCCCCATAACCATACTTTGAACCCTTTGGGAACGGAAGCATGTCAAAAGCGCACAGGGATCTTACCCAAGCCCAGTTTGGTCGACCCTAAACCCTAAACCTTGGACCTGAAAACAAACTGCTGAGAGCCGTAAAGCTCAAGTGCCAGAACCTCAGTCCACTCTTGTAGCACGCAGACTTTCCAACATGTGCAGACACAGTTTTGGTAGCAGTGTAGGTCCAAAATCCGTTACTGGGGTTCCCTAAATGGATCTATAAAGAGTGTCTATAGGGTTTCTGTAAGGCTACTCTGAGAATTATGGAATTACACCTTAAATCTTATTAAGGATCCTAAATATTTTACGGTAGATTTCTTGATTAAGGGTTATGGGAAGGCTCCAGGATTTTGCTTTTAAGGCGCCGAATATTGAGGGCCACTAGGGGTTTCTTATCATAATCAATTGTTCTGCATTAGACTGCCAATGAAAACCCTGAACCCTAAACCCCAAACCCTAAACCCTAAAACCCTAAACACTAAAACCCTAAACCCCAAACCCTAAACCCTAAAACCCTAAACCCTAAAACCCTAAAACTTAAACCCTACCTAAACCCTAAACCCTGAACCCACACTCACGAAGCCCCGAGCCTCCTCGACCGTCTCTGGAGCCTGCTGGGCTTACCGTAAGTGTTCCTTTGAGGGTTCCTTTGGGGTATTCCTTTCAGGGCTCTTTTTAAAAGGGTTCCTTTAAAAGGGCTCTTTTAAAGGGTTCCTTGAAGGGTCCAAGTACCTCGGAATCGCATACTCGCACAAAGATTAGGCCCTTTGGGCCGGAAAGAGAGGGCGTCGCCCTAGACTCTGGAAGACAGGGTTAGCGTCTCGAGAAAGCAAGAAAACTCACCGATGTCGTCAAGCGATCTTCTTCATCTTGGCCTATGGGCCCTCCTGGTCGGCCAAGTGCTCAATGCAAAACAACTGTTGGGGTACATCCGAGACACAACACGTAAACAAACGCAGGCCCTGGTCAAGCTTTTCTAGTCAGTTGTGATCGCCGCGTCTCAAGCAATCAGTCATACATTGGTTAAGCGCTAAAATTGTGTTTGTAGCCCTTTGTAGCCGTTACGTACAACTGATGCATCGCTGGATATTTTGAAAGACTGAGCCTCTTCCTCAGGCGCTTCCGGAGCAGCTTCCTCTTCGTCCTGCTCACGGCACGTACAATAAACAAACTCGCCGAGCGTGCTTTCTCTGCTTTTGCCTAAACTCGGGGTGGGGGGAGCAATCCGAAATGGTCGGTGGTTTTCCCATTTAGTCATGGTTCAAAAACCTAACAGAATTGGCCTTCTGGCCATAGGTGATGCACTAACGTGTATGTATTTATGTATGTATGCATGTGTGCGTATGTAAATATGTAAGTATGTAAGTGTAAATACGTATACATACATATACATATACATATACATATTATGTATGTCAATGTATGTGTTGTGTATGTATGTATGTATGAATCGTGTGTCTATTATATACATATACATACATTAAATATCTCTCTCTCTCTCTCTCTCTCTATATATATATATATATGCATAGAGGCATATACCATACACACATGTGAGTATTCAATACTGCATACGTCTATCTGTATCTGTATCTCTACCTTTTTCCATCTCTACCTGGGTCTATCGATCTATCTATCTCTATATACACGTGAAGGTATGTGTGTACACGCGTGTAAAAACCAACATCAGACAACTAGTTACTATGTAGGGACTATACCAGAGCCCCTTCTTTGCTTTACATCACATAAACCGTTGCAAGTCTGATTGCAACGGCCCGCCTCAGGATCAGACTCTGGAATGTTGGCCGCAATCTCCCTGATCGCCTGTCGGGCCCGTTTTAAGATTTGACGAATGCCTGTGCTCCGACTACGAAGTCGATGCCGGCGTTATGCACATCACAGTATTCAACCTCACCCTCCAAGCCGAACTTACCGTCAACCGATTCAAACCCTACCATCGTAGTGGGTAGTATTACCCCAAACAGTGTAAAGTGTATCCCCTCAGCTACTATTTCATAGCCCGAAGCCCTGAGAATCCTCGAACTTCTGAATCGCGGACCCTGTGCTGAGTCTTTACGGAATGACGAGGCAAGGATTGCATGTTGAACAACCAGGAGGATTTTCGTTGGTACTGTTGTTGTTACTGTTGTTGTTGTTGTCGCTGCTGTTGCTGCTGCTGCTGCTGCTGCTGCTGTTGCTATTGCCCCCGCTGTTGCTATTGCTATTGCCCCTGCTGTTGCTGTTGTTGTCGTTGTTGTTGCCGGTTGTCGTGTATTGCTTCTAGTAGTAATGTCGGTACGGTACTGGTACTGTCCTAGCAGTAGTAATTGGCAAGCACAACCGCAGTAGTAGTCGTCGTCGATGTATATGTCTGTGCTACTGTACGACTGAGTCAGCCTTCACCGTATCAGCCATTGACTTCTCATCGATCTTCTGGACCAAACGAATCTCAGGAGGGGACGGAGCTGAACTTGCTCGCAAGGCGAAGCTCCGCGTGCTTTCAGCTACATGCGAAAACCGTGACCAAACTTCCGTCTACCTATTACCTAGAGGTTCCATAGTTGTTCCTTTTTGGGGGTTTGTATTAAGAATCCTATAAGGTATTCCAAAAAAGGAACTACTATGGAGCCTATGGGCATCTAGCACTGACCCTCTAGCCTAAACCCGCAAACCCAAAGCCCCTGCAACCCTTAACATCCCCAAACCCGAAACCCCTGAAGCCCAACAAACCCTTAACCAAACTAAACAACCGAGACTGGAGTTGACCCCATGTCCAAAAGGAGTAGTGGGAAAACGTCCAGTGCTGCAATTCGTCAGGTTCAAGGTTTACAGCGGAGGGTTTAGAAGCTTAAAGTTTTTTGGGCTTATAGAGTTTAGGGCTTCAGGGTCAGTCCTTCTAAACAGTTCGTGGCGCTTTGTGCCCGGAAGGTTTCAGAGGTCCGGAATCCGAACCCATTGACTGTTTCAGCTGAAGTTCCTTTCTATTTAAAGGATCATGGGACTTAGGTATAGGGTTATAATTAGGGTAACTATACTTATAACTGCTTATAACCCCAATTAGGGTACTTATAACCTTGTTTACTGAGTCCCCCGATCCTCCAAGTAGGGATGGTG